GGGGGGGGGGGGGGGGGGCTGTCAATAATGCACAACCCCGACACTGTAATCTGAACTCAATGGCCCTGCTCGATGTGAATCTGATTCCAAACATTGTACAATTCTTGGAAATGCGATGACGATGCTTGCTTTATAGTCATGTGTACTGTATATCCTGATGCACTTTTTTTTATTTTGCAATCTACTTCCATATTTAGTTTATTTAGCTGGTCGTTGTTTTCTCTGTTTCCATTCGGCTCCTGCGCAGAGGGCTCGTTAATGTTTCATCTCATAAAACAACCACAGATTGTTTTTTTTTCCCTTTCCTGCTAGGACTTGGTCGAGACAAACTACTGTATATTATTCATACCAACCACAAGGCCGAGTGACGTCAGACTTGTTATGATTCTCCTCGCGGGCTCCGCCCCCCTCCTCGGCGCGAGAAGCCTCTCGAGCAGTCCGGTGGCGTCGCTGTCCGACGTCGCGGCTCCTCCTCCTCCTCCTCCTCCTCTTCAGTCCGCCCTCCGCACTTCATGTAAACAACTCCATTAGCCCCTCGCTGCACAGGGCCAAAAATGTTCGTGTCAAAACGCGAAAAGCAAAAAAACCTGTGTAATAATAAGTAAAACAGGGCTGAGGACAGGCACCGTGTCGGGGCGGAGGGCTCCGTTTGTTGTCACCAGTGTCTAAAAAAGAGAGCCTGTGAAGAAAAGCGCGTCCATATTGCATAAACCCTCAATGTAAATAACTGGAGAATGGCTTATAACCTACTAACTGTGACGGTAACAGGCAGCAATACGATACCAATGCCGTGGAATAAGGACAACAGCGAAAAATCTGTGCCAAAGCTTGTTGCTGTTTTCTACAAATAAACAAAAAAGTTGTCCAAATCTCTAAACAACGCCTTTATTTGTGTCATTACACAACAACACGCATACCTGGTTTATTCGGGACACTCTTTAAAAAGCGACTAAAGGCCAAATGCAATGTTCGTAGTGAATATTGTGCAGCCAAATGTTAACGCCCAGCATTGCATACACACCCCTTTCCTAGGAGAAAAACAAACAGCATGCATGCATGGATCCCAAATATTATCATTTATTCTTAATTACATTCCCCCCGCGTTAAATATATAACAAGTATTCGGCTCACTTACCTGCGTTTTCCCCGTTTAATTCTCCGTGTTTACATGAATATTTTTAATGACGCAGCAAGACCACACAGAGCAACGTGATTGTCGCCATTTTTTGTTGTTATTGAATTCTCCAAAGCCATGTGACAAATTGATAATGAACAAACAGTTTCAAAAATAGGCTTCCGGGTGTGGAGACAAAAAAATGAGTTTTGCCAGGGTGAAAAGCGGTTAATCTTCCGAGTTGTTTGTCTGGTGGATTAGTCTGCTTACTCCACTGACTGAACACTGAGAGCTGTGCGCAATATTTGACAGCTCCGGGACGCTGCCGCCGCCGTATGGCTCGCAACAAGTACTCACTCGATTCCTCCCGTCCGCAAAACGTTGCGCGGTATGACAGCGACTCATGTGCTTTTGTGCGCCCGCTGCCAGCAGTGCAAAACCATGAGCAATAATAACCCCATGAACTATAAGCAGTAAATAACCCAAATGAACTAATTCTAAAACATCGGATTCGAGAGAAATGCTGTCAACAAGTGGTGGAATCCAAGAATAACTAGTTTGTTGTATCATTAATGGCATTACATACAAGCATATTATTTATTTAAGTTTACAATAAAGTTGTGAAATCTAAACTTTTCTTGGATAATTCTGAAAGTTGATTATTGTAGAGGGATGATTGCAATTTTCCAACCAAATGTCAATGTGTTTATCCGTTCAGGTGACATTAAACTTTTAATATATTAGTGACATTAAGCTCTTGTCTACAGAAAATCTTTGTAACAAGCCTCAAAGTGTATTGAAGGTGGGATTATCTAATTTCCCTCGAACATATTTGTAGTTGTGAATCAAAATAACTTTATGCAGACTTTGTCTAAACCTGCTGCACAAAGAGGGATTCTCTCTTAATTTTATTTTATTTCATTTTTAGTTATAGAAATAACATTTTTGCTTTCAACTTGTCTTAGAACTATGAACAATTCTTACATTTTTTAAAGTTTTTACAGTTTTCCTTCTCTTAAAGGAAACTATAGCCAGTAACAGACTATATTTATTGTTGTTGTTGCTGTAGAAAACTACAGTAACCAGTTTACCCCGCATGATTCATGCGAATCAGTCATCCGCATTTTTTCTGGATGATGTGCGCAGAAAAATAGGGCGTTGTGGCGACTCCCTCATTCATTCGCAGAGAAAAGTCTCTCCTTAAAGACGTAGAGGAGCGTAATGTATCCATCACAGAGCTGAGAGAAAAAAAAGGAAAAGGACTTCGATCCGAGAGCAGGATAGCCCCAATGTGCGCATAGAGTGGGCTCTGCGTAAAGATCCGCAGACTCTAGAGATAAGTTGAAATTTACTTTGACAAGAATAGTTTGAACCCATTTGATCGCTCATGCGTGCAACCGTTTAGGAGTTTAATTAAGAGGTAATTTGGCTTCTCTCGCGCACAAACAGGAACAACACCATTTGTGCATCCTAGAGGTTTTACAGTTGGAGCCTGTGTTGTTTGAGGAAGACATGGCTAAGTTATTCCGGGCTGCTATAATGGGTCCACCAGGATCAGGGAAAGGAACAATATCCAAGAGGATTGCGCAAAGCTTTGGCCTGCAATATCTGTCCAGTGGCCACTATCTGCGAGAGAGCATAGCAGCAAATACAGGTATGGTAATTCTGCCCATCTGCTGTAGCCCGAACGTCAATACTGTGGTGCCAACACGAAGAACTGCAGAAAACAAACGCGTCGTTTTCCACCCTGAATGTGTGAATTTGACAATGCTTCCATTTTCTTCTCAAAAGTGTCATAAAAAAGATGAAATCATTGCTGCAAAAAGATTGTTTGCAGAAGGAAGTGAGATGTGTGTATTGTCTGCTCCACTCTTCCTAGAAGGTCATTCAACACTTAGATACTATTTTGTCTTTATTTGATTTCAGTCTTGTTGAGCCTATAGACTTAAGTAGCAGAAGTATCCCAACCCCACAATGACTTACTGCAGTTAAAAACCCCATATCAAGGTTTTAATATAATTATTTCCCCAAACTTACACCTTAAACCGTTGAATGTGTGTGTTTAAACTTCCTCATTATAGCTACCCAACTGGAATTGATGTAATTCTCAGCGTGCGCCAAGTCCATTCTGATAATAAAACAGAGTTCAGTGCTGAGAGCTTAAGTAAAAACATGTGTGTTTGGTTGCCATTACTGATTTTTTTTCCCCCAAGTAAAGTTGTGACTCGTGAATAGGGTAACTGAGTCTTTTTTCTTTTAGAACAAGTTTGAGGATTTATAAACCAGTGAGTTCAATAGGTGTGTTCCTTCAGTGACTCCAGTGACTTGGCATAAATATTGATTTAATTATTCACAGCAGACCTCAGAGTTTCCAGTGTTATTTTAAATGAATAAGACAGGAGAGGTTACAGGCAGGAGTTTGCAGTGACAGTTTTAACCATTTACTTGTCTCTGGTCAGATTACAGTTATAGTGCTCTTAAGTTGTTGTTGTTTTATGAAGGCCTGGATAAATTCAACATGCCTTGTCCTGTCTTGTCTTGTTTTTGATTTGAACAGACCTGCACTGACTATGTTTGTCTGTTGTGTTTCAGAGGCAGGTGTGCTGGTGAAGACCTACGTAGAAAGAAGCATGCTGGTGCCTGACCATGTTATGACCAGACTGATGCTGCCCAGACTGGAACAGCTGAGCGGCCACAGCTGGCTGCTGGACGGTATGAAAAGTAGTGTTTGTGTTTTTAAAAACCATTAGAGTGCATAATCTGATGCACTGTGGTCACTCACAGCAGCCTCCATCCTTTGTCTTCATTTGTTGTGAGGAAATATGCTCCTCATAATGCAGCGTCATGGCCGGTTTTGTGAACTGCTGGCCACCCCTTAAATCTGATTGGCCAGCCCAGATGCCACCCCCAAAATCCCCAGACTCATAGCCATGTTAGAGGCAGGGCCATCGGGCAAGCTTTTGGTTTAATACCTCTACATGTTCACTAACATGTCTCCCAAAGTGCTGTTTACAGTGCCTCCTTTACTTTAGTCTGAAGAGTAAGTAAGGGGAAAATTATGCTCTACATTAACCTACATCTGTGGATAATTAGTACTCTGATGTACTGAATCCACTACCAGCAGGTCTGTGCATGCTCTCTTCCTTCCTCTTCTAGGTTAAGAAAGTTATAAAATACAGAACTGCATGTGTTTATATTGTATCTGGTAACATATTTAGTTTGAGACATTAGTAACATCTGAAATGTCCCTTTCTGAGTTAAATATTATCCATTACCTTCAAGAGAGATGCCAAACATTGATGAAACATGCTTAAACCTGAAACATGATCTCTAAACAAATAATTTTAGTTTAGCGAGAGAAAAGGTCAACAAAAGCAAGGTTACACACACACACACACA